ATATATATATATATATATATATATATATATATATATATATCCATGTAGAATCGATTAGGCTATGAACCCCCAGGATCACTGGATGCATAATAATCAAATTTATCACTCGGTCTTGCTAATTGGGTGATTTGCACCCGGTAGATTGTTCTGAAGGTAGCAAGATCCATTTAACGGGATTAATCGTGAACTCTCGAAGAAGCGCCTCACGACGTGGTGTTCCACATATTGATCTGCTACCCTGTCTCGGTCGACCCAAGAGTAAGACAGCAGCAGTGCACAACGCAAACGTGCCCTTGACTGTAAGCAAACAACCTGGACAAGTTTTCATTCGTTTCATATTGTGTGTGATCATGTACACTGCTGGTGTTGTGAGATGCAACTCACACCTGTGAGTAGTTTACACGCACCAAAAACCGGTTATTGGATTCCCACAGAATTTGCGAGTGGATTGAATGATTTACTTTTGTAACTACGACCAATGCGCATCCACCGTTGAAACTTTCCCTCAGTTATCCTGTATACTTGTGAGAATTATGAAAAGTTGTTCAAAATGAGACATTTGTTGCATGTATGCCAAATTACCGATACCTTTACTGATATTCGTAATAAGTAATTCTCCTCCGAGCACCTCTAGTAAATTTATAACATTGGTATCGCATCTACTTCATACTTGTGAGTAAAAGCAATGCGATGTACATTTGGTCACCCAAATGACCACAGGTGTTGACTACGAACGTGATTCTCTGCACTATTTATATTCGAAGATATACAAAGATTGCTCCTTTGACGTTTTCAAGACATTTTTACAAAAGTACAGCTGTTACGCAGCACAGAGTTTTCTAATGCGAATGTTTATTCCTTTTTCTTCTTCTTCAAAAATCATTCTGTCTGACTCACGCACTCATCGGTTTACTTGACTGTCTCTCGGGATCGGACAACAGGAGGAGGCAAATATCGGCAAACCGAATTGGGAACACTTGAACGACAAACTGCACGTCGTACTGTCTGTGGAGGACTATGAAAATCGTGCTCAGGCCCGGTTGGATAAGGCCAGTGAATATGTTTCACTGTTTCTCAAGGAATCGCTGAAAGCCGTGAGTGTTTTGACCGAGTGTGGTGTTTTGTCTCCCCTACTCATCTTCAGTTCTGTCCGTGTACTTCATTATCACAGTCAAGTCAAGTATTTGCTTTATGCCCCCAGAAAGGTGGATATTCAGCAGTCGCATAGTCAACCAACAATTATCGAACAAAATTATAATAGAATTATCATAAGCAATGAAAAAGAAAACAATTTACGAGATGACTGAGTTAAGTTCCGAAGCGATGCGTTCTTGGCTCACGAGAAATCGGGCAAGGTAGGGCATCACAGAAGACCAATAGGCGGTCGTACGAGCAAATATACAATTATAACGGGACCGGGTGGAAGAGGGGGATATACACTTAATAAGATCCTGATGTAATGGATGTGAAGGGTTATCTGTGATTTTTGTTGATCACTAGGAGCATGACTTTATATTTTGGGAAATGATGAATTGACAGAAAGTTTCACGGAAAATCCCGCTACTTCTTGATAAATGTGTTAATGATCTGGAAAGCAATTTAAAGTCCTTTTTGAGCATCCCTGGAAAGATTACTGGGGACCCGTACATACATAGGGGTAAAACGCAGGCAAATAGAAAACGTTTAATCAAGAAGCGAGGGACGGATAGTGTTTTCAATCGTAAGATATAAAATGATAGTTTCCTGACCTTTCCAAATACAGAAACAACTTGTTCAAACCAGCATAAGTTTCGTTGATTAACACCAAGATACTTGACATTTAGGGGTTGGACAATAGTATCATCATATATTCTTAACGTGAGACAGGATTCCAGGAGATTGGCATAACGATTCCCTCTGTGAAGTGAGAACAGCATGTCTATACATTCAGAGGGATTAAGAGTTAGGTTATGCTCAGCGGACCACTCAGCAAGGTTAGTGAGGCCACGTTGGAGGGTGGGGGTGACAGATGCATCAGGGTGGGCGGTTCCGACCACAACATCGTCCGTATATTTAATAAGCAGGGAATTTTGTAAAGCAGGCATGGATGAAATGCAAGTGGAAAAGAAAAACGGGGATAGAATGGCACCCTGTAATACGTCCAATGTAGAAATCAAAGAAGAGGGGGAACGACCAAAGTAATGTATGAACTGTGATCGATTTTTGAAATAGTTAGTGAGTACTGCAGTAATGGTTTGCGATATTCCTTCTGAAGACAAAATATTTAACAGCATAGATCTGTCAACACAATTGAAGGCGCCACTGTGATCCAAGAAACAAATTCTGACAGCTTTCTTGTTTGCATTAGGTGCTGACAGAATGTAGTGAACCAGAGAAGCGAAGGCATCAAGTGTGGAGCGAGAGCGACAGTACGCAAATTGGTTTTGGTTCTGCACATTCAACTGAGATGACATCCTTTGAAGAAGTAACTTCTCGAAAAGCTTCAACACAACAGACGTACATGCAATGGGACGGAATTTCGAGGTGCCTCTGGGCACTGTAGTGATGGTGGCAGCTTTCCAACAGTCCGGTATAATTCCGTTTTCCAAACACTAGTTAAACAGATCTGTGATCACTGGCGAAAGTGTGTGACCGCACTCCTTAAGGATGGTAGCGTCTAACCTATCAGGACCGGGTGATTTATTGGGTTTGAGTGTCAGCAACTTTTTCAGAACATCCTGTTGACGAATAGTAATGGGTTCTTTATTGCTGAGGTCGATGTTCGCGCAGGTGATGACTGACCCCGTCCCCATGTTGTTGATACTTCTGTTGACTGTTCTATTTAGTTCCTCAACGTCCACTGCTGTTTACGACACGATTGAGGATTGACCACTCAGTTGCTTGATGGTGTCCCAGGTTTCCCGGCAGGTTTTGTTGTGTAGGAGTGTACGAGTGTAAATGCCGTTCAGTCGATGTAGCTCACCTTTGACAGCAAGAGATAAGAGTTTCACTCTTGGAAGATCTTTGCTTTTGTATGCCATTTCCCTGTTTCAACACAACTGCTTCAGATGGGGAGACGAGATGCGGTCACACCGAAGGTATAGCGTCTCCCAGGGGCAGCATATATCATAGCAGAAGTTTAGATAATGTGTAAGGTGATCACAGTAGACGGAAGGATTGTGGTTGTCGAACACACTGAAGTCCGTCTGAGAGATCATCACATTCAGCTTCTCTGGGTTCTCTTGGTTACATTGACGTTTTCTTCTTTTTATGTCACGGCTTTTTGTGAACGATATGTGATTGACCTTGCTTTGAGGAAACTTTAATAAGGGCACGGTCTGAAGACCCAAGAGGGGAGCAGGAAGATGCCAAAAAAATGGTAGTACTATTTACAAAACACTTGTCTAGATGAGCATTTATTTTTATTGGGAAACTCACTGTGTTTGTCAAACCCAGAACAGACAAGAATGAGATATCAGCACGATTGAAATCATCACAGACGATACATAGCGAGAAATCAAGATAACTCATTAAAGTTATGGAAATGGTATCTGAAAAATGTAGAAGCTCCTCTGAGGGACAAGAAGGAGAAATATAAATGTTAGCTAAGACAATCGATCGATAGTTAATGAGATGTTTTGGCTGGCATTCATGTACGGAGGCACATATGTGACCAGTGGAATGAGCAAATGTTTGCTTCACGTTCTTTCACCAATTGTTTTTGATATAAGTCACCAAGCCTCCTCCACGCTTCTGGTACGTTGCCGGACGGTCGACACTGAATCCAGTGATAATTCGTTCTGCCCAGTTCACCAAGTACACAGTTGGGCGTTACAATCGCACTTAGGGAGAGTAGGCAGTAAGCAGTCGTCTATAGTCACATGAAGAAGTTGTGCGGTGTGCGATCGATGAATTGATATACTGATAGACTTACCACGGAATCACCTCTGCCACAAGCCTGAAATAAAAGTTCCAGTGTTTTACTATGTATCTTGGGCCTTGCACCTGAATGTTTATATTGTCACTCCAAAATGACAGAAGAGGGGTTAGAAAACTTCCAACGATCACATAAAATAATAAAAGGACTCAGTTAAAACGTGGTCGAAATCACATTGTGGATGTAATATATATACCTTAAGTAATAGAAGGCGTAAATCGATTCCGAATGCGCTGTTCAAATGTTATTCCAAAATCCACATTACTGTCACGGGTGGGTGTCTTGCATTGTGAATAGGGACGCTTCCCTCGCATCTAGCGAAATGATACTTTTCTAGTAAACGTCTCAACTGGCATCTGCTGAGGAAGCCGTGCTCACTGCCTGAACAGAGCTGAGGGTTTCACTCGCCAAAGTGAGAAGAAGAAGGCCAAAATCCGGGCTATAAGTGGACTGGCGAAGCACTATGAGTTTACCTCGGGAAGTTGACCAAACCTCTGATCCCAAAACAACGGAGAAGAGGTGCATGGACCATGCACCCTCACATACCTTCATGGTGGGGCAGTGGTCATCGTCTTGATCCGGCTTCGAGATATGTTGGGCAGTTCGGACGTTTTATCCCGTCCATAGGGCGTATGATTCGATAAACTGAACAATTCGGGTTCCATACAGCTCCCCGCTGCCTTCTGTATGTCAGGTTTTGGCTAACTGAAGGCTCCAGTTGTGAACACCAAAGAAAACTCGTGGTTTGGCCTGGGCAATCTTTTTCATTTTTGCCTCTCTTCA